TTGTCGTTGGGTTTATGCAGTCAAAGTCGGCCCGGATGGCCAGGTTGATTGGCTTAAGACTCGTCTTGTTGCAAAAGGATATACTCAGATTTTTGGAATTGATTATAGTGATACTTTCTCTCCCGTGGCTAAAGTAGCATCTGTTCGTCTCTTTTTGTCCATGGCTGTTGTACGTCATTGGCCTCTTTATCAGTTAGACATTAAGAATGCTTTTCTCCACGGTGATCTTGAGGAAGAAGTTTATATGGAGCAACCACCTGGTTTTGTTGCTCAGGGGGAGTTTAATGGTTGTGTGTGCAGATTACGCAAGTCACTATATGGTTTGAAACAGTCCCCTCAAGCAAGCTTGGTTTGGTAAGTTCAGCACAATTATTCAGGAGTTCGGCATGACTCGTACTGAGGCTGATCAAGTTTGTTCCTTCCAGGTGCACTAATCCGTGGATACTTGGGATTTCTATCCTTCTTCAATGTCTTGGGTCGATGAAATGTGACTTTTGTTCGTATCTTTGTTGACTTCTTCTTAAAGGTTGATCCTGATTTCACAGCCTTGGCAGCCTTGGCAGCCTTGACGGCTTGGGCTTTGGGATCACCTTTCTTTGCCACATCTTTAGTTGGAGCCATGGGAGACAGTTCTAAATACACAGATTAGGAGGCATAATGGTCGCTAACGTCAGGCGATTGAATCTCTACAAGAATCCATATTTTTGTTTTCATTATCTTTTCCTTTTTCTTCTGTTTTTCTTTCTATTACTTCTTTCTTCTCTTTTAGTTTTCTTTCTTTTTTCCTCTTAGTTTTCTTTCCAAGATTCCCTTTGTATTTTTCACCGATTTCTTTCTCCTTCTCTTTTTCCAATCATTTTCTTTGCCGAATATTCATCTTTGATCCCTCCCTCCCTCCCTCTCCCTCCCTCCCTTTTAGCCACCATGTGAACGAAGCTGCGGTGCCTTGTGACTGCCTAGCAAGGCATCTAGCACTACCATCCATCTCAATTCATCTTTACGTCATTTATTGGTCCCTCCACCATTTTCACTTATGTACCTCAAATGAAACCTAATTTAAACTTGTGGAAACCTACACAATAAAATTTTCATTCAGCAATCATCCACTGAATTTTACCACACATACGTGTTGAACCTAAGATTTGTGATTTTAGCACAATACTTAGTTAAGAAGATAACACGATGGAAGCAAAGATCCATATAGGCAATATCACCTAGTAGCAATTAAAGTGTCATATTGTTGTTACACTAACAGTCTAACACTAGTTCTGGGTATGGATAAGTGCAAGATTTAGATGACCTCTAGTTTTAGAAAATTTCTAAAGTGCCTTAAACAAAAGCTGCTTATACTGTTGGAATAACATGGACCTGAATAGAGCTGAATATAAAGATGACTCATTTCGTTGAGCCCAACTAGTATGGCGTTGAGGCGAAGTCGATTGACCGAACTTACTGAATTATCAAACCAATTTAGCTGAACCAAAATGAGTCAGAATCGAATTAAGCCTAACTGCTGTATGATTGGTCAGCCTTGGCTCTTCGGTCCCAGCAGTTTCAGAGCCAAATTTTGGAAACCAAAACAACCACTTGTGCAGTTCTAATTCTATTGATACACAAGCACACAAGACATGAAGGATAGAGTTATAATGTTTGAGGGACAACAAGGAAACAGAGAACATAACAGACGGCAAGAAAGATATGATCTTACTGCTGTCACTTTCTTATATATCTGAGCAGCATTTGCACACTCGACATAAGGATATTCAAAAGTCACCAGCTCCAGTAAGCACATGCCAAAAGCATAGATATCTACTAGCTCATTATATTCCTCCTCATAAAGTTCCGGTGCCATGAATTCCGGAGTGCCTGAGATTAAATATAGAATTGCACTCTTAAGATACCATCTAAACAACACAAACAATTGCAACCTTGGATAGACGCAGAAATTAGCAAATTGGACTAAGACCTCACCAATGACACTATGAGCTGAACGAGCCTTACGAAGAATTGCTGCGAGTCCCAAGTCACCGATTTTCACCTCTCCTTGGTTACCATTGACAAAAATGTTGTCGCACTTGAGATCCCGATGAATAACTGGAGGGTCGTGACGATGTAGATATGACAATCCCTCCAATATCTGCCTAGACCAATTCTTGAGTGCTCGCAAATCAACCTTCTTATGCTTTTTACGGTATCTACACATGCGTACACAATGAGTATATGCGATTCGGAACGTTTGTTGGGGAGCGGGTGAGCAAAGATGGAAAAAAAAATACATACTGTCTTAAAGTCCCAGAAGTGAATATTTCAGTAATGATGTTGATATTCTCATTCTTTGTGTCAACCCAGGAGTTGAAATATTTGATGATATTCTTGTGCTTGAGGGTTTTAAGTAAATGAACTTCTGAATAAAGACGCTCCAAGTCCACAGCATTCCTCAAGAGATCAGCCACTTTAACCTGGTTCCAAGCTACTTCTATTCCCTCCAGTTCATCAAAAGCTCGATATCTATTTTCCCGATAGTAAGTCAAGGGCTTGGCAGAATAGCACTTCACAACAAACATTATAGAAAACAAATAGTAGAATGGTAAGCAAATAATATGCATGTAAAGGTGTTTGATAAAGGATACACTTTCTTAAAAGCTCCTTTTCCCAGAACCTCCTTATACTGCACATAACAGGAAAATCAACTCCATAATTCAAATGCAGACAGTTTACAAAATTTACCAGTACAAGCAATAAAAGCAGTAAATGTAACAACACTATCACCAAATCAGTAAGAAGAAGAAAAAAGCAGGAAAAAACTAGTAAATTCAGCAAATAATGGAAGCACGGTCAGTGTGACAAATAGCCAAATTCTGTCAAAATACCAAATAAAGGTTAAAAAAAAGTTTGTAGAAGGTGAGAACTGACCCGACCGTAGCGACCAGTAGGATCGAGCTCCACGAAGTCGGGCTCCGATTCAGAATCGTCCGGTTCCTGCTCGGACGTCGAATCCTGGTGCATTCTCTTCCTCGAAGGAATTAAAATTCAACAAAATTCCGAACCCTAGCTCTTTAATTGATTCAGATCAGTCAAATATAGAAAACAACTACGCCCAATTCAACACTGTCAACCACAATTCAGCAAAATAAAAGTAACAATTCTAATTACTCTTTCCTTCAACTAGTAAAGCTATTTATATGTAGGTACTTTACGTACGTAGGTTTGGTGCAGAGGATCAGTGATGAGAGAATAGTAGAGACGAAGCGTGTTAAGGAAAAATAAAGGTGGCGGGTAAAGGGGTTATGAGCGTATAAACGGAGGGAATCGGCTAACTGATTGCGACCGACGGGAGTCCCAATTTTTTTCAATTTCTTTATTATTCGGATTCGGATTTTGGATTAGTCAACACCGTAAGATTAAAGGAGTACTCTGGACGCTTATGGAAAGTCAATGGACTTGGATCCTCTCTTTTGCTTTTTTAAATTTTTAAGTAACCCTAGACGGTTACATTTGACAAATACTGCCAAGTTATTTTTTGTTTTGTTTTGTTTTTTATTTTTGTTTACTACCCCTAGCAGGGGCGAACTTTTGAGTATACGGGTAAATGATTTTTTCTTAAAAAAAATAACTTATTGAATTTTGAATACTAAATTATATTTGACCAAACTTTGACCAGCATTCTGCCGTACTCAAATAGAATTCTAGCTTCGCCTCTATTAAGTGTCGAAATTTTATAGTGCTTTCTTATTAAATGTGTTTTTGGATGAAAAACTAGTCGATAATTATAATTTTATTGGAATGTAGCAAATTTGTTTTAGTTAAAAGCAAAATAGCACAAATGAAGGAAAAACTAAAAATGTTGTTTAATTTGTAAAAATAAAATTGTATTGGAGTTGCAGCACAAAAAAAATTAACTATAATCCTATGCATCGATCAGACTATGTTATTTTTTATAACTAACTTGGTAATAAATTGAAGTAAAAATACATATAAATTGATCATGACTAACAAAAGAATATAAACAACTAAACTATGTTAATTTCATTACTTTGTTTAGTTGTGTAATGCATCAATGTTAATTTATTCCTTTTGTGGAGAGCACCAAGTAGGGTGTACAAATCGAACCGGAAAATCGCACCAAATCGAAAAGTCAAACCAAACCGATTAAAAAATTCGATGAGGTTTGGTTTGATTTGGTTTGGTATTGAGTAAAAACACCCGAACAAAACCGATATATAAATATATAATTTTTATATTTACTTTTAAGACTTTATATAGAATTTTCTTTAAAAATTGCCTAAAAATATTTGGGATTTTCTTATGGGATTTAATATTTAATAGAATATGAAGGGCTCCATTTTTATTAACTTTAAATAATATGTTATATAATCGTTCTTATCAAGTGTTATTAAAATGCGACAATCTCTTTGTTCTTTCATATTCGTATGTCAAGATCAATTAAATTCTTATATCTTTTTCGAATTTGAAGTGGTATTTCGATAATTGAAAATTAAAAGAACATATATCATTATTTAGGTATCATATTAATTTTTATATTATTAAATTAACCTTGAAAGTGTACATCAACGAAAAATTATTGTCAGCTAACTAAAAAAATAATTATCATGTGTTACTAAAAAAATTCTCTCATAAGAATATTTTAATAGATCATATGTTTGTCAATTTTTTTAATTTTTATTAAACATATATTTACTTATCAAAAATTTGACAAAGTAAGATTGCATAGTATTCATGTAACAAAAAAACCGAAAAACCCGAAAAAATCCGACAAAATCGAATCAATTCAAACCGATATAGTTGGTTTGATTCGATTTTAATAAAAAGCGAACCAGCTCAGTCCATGTACACCCTAGCACCAAGTATATTGGAACAAGAACTTTGAAAAGAATATTAGACAACTAAACAAATAACGAAAATTTCCACGAATCTACATGCATTACAGAAAAATCGAAAAATGAGTACGGTTTAGACATGAAAGCAATAGATGTGAGAAAAGCGTATAATCATCTATACGGCTCTACCAATATAATATTGTACATAGCTCTCAGAACTATCAGAGGGTACGAGACGTGTTCCGAAATAATTTAATCACTCCATCTAATCTTACATTTTTTCTTCTTGTCAACATATTTTGATTGATCTAATTGTTGAAGAAAAAATCTAAACTAGGTTGATTAGTAATGTACTCGAGCTTCCTTTTCTTCATAAAATTTTATAAAAAACTTGAAATACATATAAACTTAATCCAAAATTATACGGATTTTTTTTATACCTAGTGTTTATATCAAATTGATGAATGCATGGCATGTCTTACTGTCCAATTGAGCCATGCAAACAAGAATTAAATCTAATTTCTTAGAGAGGGAGAAAGAAGAAAGGAAAATTGACGGAGAGTTCTATTATTCATCACAAGAAGAAAATGAGCTGATACACTATTATATACAAGTCTGTTATGTTAGCTCACTTCTCACACTTATCAGACGTGCACATCCCGTGTTCTTAACTAACCGACTTTGCCTTCTTTGTAACTAACTTCTTGACAGCTCACTAACTTCAGCTCACGACCAGCTCACTAGCTTCTCTGCATCATCACTCTGCTACTCTGGCTTTCACTCTGCATCTTCCATTACTCGCCCCTGAGCTAGAGGGTGGAAGACATCGAGCACTCCTAGCTTGGACAGAAGGAGCTGATGCTGGCTGACTCCCAAACCTTAGTTAAGAGGTCAGCAATTTGAGACTGTGTAGCAAGGTACTTGGTTTCAATAAGGCCTTCCTTCACCTTTTCTCGGACAAAATGACAATCAATG